GACGCCTACAATGGCATTTCATGCCTGTCAGTACAGCCAGAGAGTACTGACCACCTTCAGCTCTGCCTGTAGAAACACTCAGTATTTCTATAACTATTATTTCACTGGCCATCTCTCCTGGTCGCTATACTGAGTCTAGGATGTCTTACTTTGACTCATCGCTATCTAGGGAGATTACTAAAGTTTCAGGGTTGAATCTAGCCTTTTTTTTCCTTTTACCACTTTAGTTAACAATATAATCTCTTAATATACACATATAATGAAAATAGTATTTTTAATAATCAATAAAACTGCTATGCAGAATGATAGAGCACCAATGAACTGAAGTATCTATCTGTCTTGCTGCTTGCTAGAGGGGAAGCAATTGGATACGACTCTGTTGGGACAACAGATGCTTACATCTTGTACTTGTTAAAAACAGATTTTTCTTTTTTTTCTGAAGCAGATAGTTCATCTTGAATTTTCAGTCTTCAAATAATTATTTTGATTTGTGTTAAAGCATGTTCAGCTTATTCAAAATTGACAGAAAAGCTGGTGGAAAAATAAACTACCTTGAGAGCACTTATGAAGCCCAAATAATAATCTGAGGTAGCCTGGAAAATAGTCCAATTTATAGTTCACGTAGTCAACTGTATGAGAAGAGTGCATGATTTCACTGTTAGTAATAACGAAAAAATATAGTTCAGGCCTTGTCTCTTTTAAATAGCCTGGAAAAACATATTTGGAGACACAAATTCCACAGAGATTCACAGGATCACAGAATCACAGGATGGTTGAGGTTGGAAGGGACCTTTAGAGATCATCTAGTCCAACCCCCTTGCTCAAGCAGGCTCATGTAGAATGAAGAATAATTTCAGTAACTCATATTTTTATTAGTCTCAGTATGAACTCTTTCCTGTAACTCAAAGAAAATTAAAAAAAATATTTTTTATGTCAAAATCTAAGAAAAATGAGTTTACAGGAGAGTAAAGTGCTGCTATAAGCATATATTTTGCCCAGAATGGCTGCACAGGGCTATGCTAGTTGTTTTTCAAATGCAGAGATGAATTTAAGTAAAGGTAGTTAATCCCTTTCTTAAAAACTCTCATGATAGTTTGCTGTATTATCCACAATAGAGTAACAAGGAGGCAAACTACCTATCAATATTTTTCCAGACTACATTATCTGGCCTAACCATTTTCTGATTAAGAGTTGCTAACATAGCTCCATGAATTTAAAAAATGATGAGCAGATACTTTTACTTGTCAACACAAAAAAAACTGTTTGGGATTCAGGGGCATTACAACCACAAGAAACATAAACTAAAAAATAATTAGCATTCAGGATGTAAGCAAGGAAAGAACCATCAGCCAAGATAAGCATGAAGGTACTTGCTGAAATTCTACAGAATGCTTTGCATGACACGCCAACTACAACAGTAAAAGAACACTGAAGTTATAAAATCAAACATGCAAAAGTTAGGAAATAGCAGAGTAAAGGTTGACTGACAGGTACAGACATTTCTCCATGAGTAAGGTCACTGGGGACCAAATCTTAGTTACAGATTCACAGAATAGTTGAGGTTGGCAGGGACCTCTGGAGAACATCCAGTACAACTCCCCTGCTCAAGCAGGGTCAGCTAGAACTGATTGCACTGGACTATGTCAAGTTGGGTTTTGAATATCTCCAAGGATGGAGACTCCAAAACCTTACTGGGCAACCTGTTCCCGTGTCTACCACCCTTACAATTCCATGAACGCTGTCCCCAATGCCTCTTTCAAACATGACTGCTGCAATATCAGCATCTCCAAGCTCTGTTATTTTGGCCTTTAGAAAATGGCACTACTCCAAGAATCAGCACTAGGTATGTATAAGAGATGTAAAATGAGATACTTTGATCCCAAGGTGCAGCATTGTTCTTGCAACCCAAGCAGCATCCTATGCTATTGGCAGGGCAGAAGCAGCCCCCTGTCAATGTGGGAGGGATGGGGGATAGGGAGAACCCACAGAGTTGACCACAGACAGGCGGGAGAAACCCAACCTGTAGCCTTCACCCCATACCTAAGGTAGGGGAGCTGAAGATCCTATGGAGGTGTCTCTCTCTCTCTCTCTCTCTTTCTCACTACTGACTGCAGAGAAACTCGAGGTGACTAGCTGCAGTGTGACATTACTTCAAGAGATGGTTTATATGAATTTTGGAGAGTATTCTTGTGTAGGTGCAAAAAATCCAGCCCATCTCCAGTGCACATTTTCCAAAACATCTCCAAGCTGAATCTTTCCATGGAAACTTGGAAGACTTTAGACTGCCAAAGTCAAAAGTGATGTTACTCAACAAATTATTGTAGTCATTTAGCTGCAAGATCATAATACAGGCACTCGTATTACAACATGCGATACAATCTAATTTATACTTAAAAAGAAAGCATGAATCATTACACATAGCTAATGATGACTGCTCATTTAAGCAGACAAAAAATTAGTAGGTGTTTTAAAATATTCATTAGAAGCAGGTATTTTTCTTTGCTGCTTATGAATGCCTCTTCCTCCTTGAGAAGTACCAGCTCGGCAGTTCTTCTTACATTAAAAAGACATTAAAAAGAAAAGAACTGTCTTCATCGCCCTAACTGAAGTTGAGAAATGGATCTGGAGGGAAAATGCTTTTTTCTGTGAGACTGCTGCAGCTGTTGAACACAAGGTCTTCCAACAGTAGTTAACCATCTAGTGAACTACAGGCTAATCTTAAATTTATGTAAATTTAACTGGAATATCTTTAATTTTGACCCAATTCCCGGAATATACTGTTTTGCTTTTCAGAGTCCAGTACAGTAAAGTACTCTAGTGCATGCTCGGTATTAAACGCAAGTGCAGCTCCACTGACTTTAATGGTGCTACTTATGAAAGTTTAGGCGCATGGTGAATTAGCTTTTTGAACTGGGTTCTCGCATTCTCTTTAATCTGGGAGACGTCAGACAGGAGCTTTACCAGTGCTCCAGAATTTCAACAACCTCATCAAATTTCTTTGGTCTTTTAGCTTGTTTTCTAATTGTCCTAGCTCCTGTAGCCCTGCAATTATGCAAAAACTCCCTGCTCCCCTAATGAAACGTTTCTAGTTCTCTAGCGAGGGAGGTGTGGCACAGAGCAGTGATGTCTCTGAGTCATGGTGGTGGCCATGGCCACCATCTCTGGTAACCCAGTGCCGTGGTGTTAAATGCAAGAGTGAAGCCTCTCAAGCTGGGGCCTTGCCAAAATTGAGATCAGCCAGGTGGGCAACTCCAGACAGACTTGCTAATGGAATATATATACCCCCTGAGCAGGACTTCACCAGGAAACTGGGATAACTCACGTAACCTCCTACTAAAGCAACGGGTACCACCGTAGCTGACATGAGGGGATTCAGCTGGAGCCCTGGGAGCTTTTCAATATATTTAGAAAGAAAAACTCATTATAGCAACTTTACTAGTCAGGGGAATTCTAGAGATTCAAACTTTTAAAAAATTAATACTGTTGGTAACTTTTGAAACAAAAGACCCTCATTAATGTCTTTCCCTTACAGCAATAGCATAAGGGGGTGCCACAAGGACTTATGGGGGAAATTTTAGAACACATGCATGGGTTGCGCACACAACAAGTTCAAGCAAAAGTTAAGCCCTGTCTGAGCCTCAAACAAGCTTGTCTTCAAATCATTTTGTTTAAGAGATGAGTTTTTTTAAAACAGTTGTAGTCCTCAGGTTGGGAGTCTAAGATTTAACTGATTTTTGAAGGCAATTACATGAAAACAAATATGCAAGATTGTTATAGGGAATCCAGGTGGACAATTATGATGAGGTCTCTAAGCAGCTCGCCTCTCTCACAGGCAGTTCAGTGCATCTATTAGATGATTTGGGTGTTTTATAACTATTTAGTACATTACTCGAACACCACACTCAAGCTTGCTATACAATTCTTCTACAGGCACAGTCCCTATCAGGAGAAATGAGATTTGCAGTGTTCTTCTAGGTCCATCGAGCCAGGCTAGCATTTCAGTCTCATTCTTTCACTGAGACAATGTCTACTTTTAAGACACTCTTGGGTGACTTGGGTCACTTTGCCCTCTGGGTCTTAAGCTGAAATAAAAACTATTGTTGTTTGTTTTTTGAGAATTTGGTTTGGGGGGGGGAGGGGCTGTTGTATAACTTAGCATATCTCAAAGCTCTGCATTTGGCCAAGTATAACACTGCAAAGCAAAACAGCCAAAAAACAATGAGACAGCAGTCAAGCAGGGTGCACTTAAGTGATTTCTCCCCCAAAAGTCATGTGCGAAAGTGGGCAGCTGGGACTCCATGGTATCCTTTAATATATTGTACATATTCTACATGCCAGAGAACCTTCTCTCTCAGCATGCAGATCCAGGAACACTCTTTTCGTCTCAAACCAACCCTGCCACAGCAGTGCTGGAGGGCAAATCCCCTCCCTGGCTTTGAAGCCTTACTTTGAAGCCTCCTCTTCAGTGGAGTTTCTTGGGCTTTACTTACCTCTCAGATGAAGACTCCTAATATATCTTCATGCAGGTTGCCCCTGTGGGGACTGAACCTGCCTCTGAAAAGAAGACTACACAAGCTACTACACAAGCCAAGAGGTCCAGCTCTGAGAGCTCGAGTCATAGCCAGCTCATCTGCCAGGTGAAATGGCCACTAGCAGTGGAGGGGAGAGGACCACAGAGGTGGGAGCTCGCACTGCTTCCCAGACAGCACTGCACAACGGCCTTAACAAAGTCATTTTAGCCGACTGGCGTAAGTTTATCCATATGCAACATATGCCTGTGTTCAAGGCCTGCACTGGAGCTTTTAAGAGAGACTTACATAAAAATGAAGGAGGAAATATTAACATTATATTCAATTTAATTACTAAAACTCACTCTCAGCCATGACTGAGTTTCCATGCCAGAAGAGAAAGCCAGGTAGATAAGAAGTGGTATCAGCTTGTCAGTATACTGTATCCAGGCCAAACTGATAGGAAAAGAAATGCAAAGTCAGAAAACTTACACAAAGGACATGTAGGATGACGGCTCCATGCCTCCTGTCCTCGTTTGTAAAGATGTCATTGGGGAATTCGTGGAGAGCTGCAAAAAGGGAAAAAAAAGTCCAGATGCTTAATCAAGCTACTCAAAACTCCTACAACTGTTAAGTAACATAACCAAAAAAACCACCTGAGTCTTTCTGTAGAGTGGCAGCCTTAGAACAGCCAATGATTATGGGACCCTAGGCCATAGGGGCTTTGTTCTGTTATGGCATTCGTTTAGCTTAACTTGTCCTCTGTCAATTATATGCCTTTCCGCGAATGTTTACTGTGTAATTTGCTTCCATGGCAACCGTAGCATTACCTATGGCAAAAACACCTTGAAGATTGCAGATAAACTCTGAGCACGCAGCATTACACTCTTCTGAAAATATTCAAGGGGAAAAGGGGGATTCCAGCATGAGCAGCAGCAGGGCACACTTACCAACCACACTAACATTTTGCCTGAATGCCTAGCTGCATGCTAAGAAAGCCTTAGCTAGGAAATGGGGGGCTGGATGTGTGCTCCGTCATGGAATAAGTGTAGGGAGCTGCAATTAGCACGGCTGGAAAACAGCACTTGTCTTATTGCAGTGCCCTTGGCTATGCTGCCTATGCACTTTCAAGCTTGTTCTTCTAGCAGAAAGGCCATCGTCCCTTTGTCTAGGCTTGCCTTTCCCTTGTCCCAGCTACTGCACTTGGTAAAAGCCTTTTCCTGTGCTCTAGGAGGAAGGTACTTTCTCTTTTCTAATCTCTTTCTTGTGGGAAAGGACATATTAGAACCCCAGCATGCATATGCAGGAACAAAAATTAAAACGGCTCAAGGATTACTGGATATGACCTTGATAGTACCTGTGTTTTATCACTGTTTCTTTTGGTTCGTATAAACAAGCCACTACATTTAAACGTATGCACGGTCGGAAGTCTCCCCAAAGGGCAGTGCAACGTTCTCTCTTCCATCCTTGAATACATCAAAAACTGCCTGAGCAATGGCCGAAGTAAAAATTGAAGTCATAGTCTCCGTTTCTGTCTTTGCTGTTCTGGCTCAGGACTGACAAATTTGGCGAGAAATCCCACGGAGAGGATAATCTGTGCAAGGACTGGTACAAACAAAAATCCTTTATGCACCAAGGTGGTCAGTAGGTACTTTTAAGCCTGCCTATCAATGTGACACTGGTTTTGCCGTGGGACAGACAGTCTAACCATTGCACCACCACCGACTGGCCGATGGCTGCAGCCAACGGCAGCAGCAGTCAGTCCCTTGGTATGCAGTCTGGCCCCACTGCTGCACAAAGCTTCTTGCGTTTTGCAGACAACCTTGCTTTCCTCATTTAGCATTTGGCAACAGTGGTACCAGCTTATAGATGGGGGACAAGCAGGCAGGGACGTGAAATAATTTGCCTGAGATCACAGTGCCCCTGTGGTCCAGGAGAAAAGCTCTATGACCAGAAATGCAGCCTGGCCACGGAGGAGCCCACGAGGGTGGGGACCACAGCTCTCAACGAGTGCTGACATCTCAGGCCCAAACTTCTTCGGAAAGTTCAAAGAAGCCATCTTTCATTGTAGCAGTTTTTTTATGTGACTCAGGATGAACAGGAGAGTCACCAAAAGACTAAGAGACCTCAAATAGTTGTTTAATCCATCCCTGCCCCAAGACAGAACCAGTAAGACCCGTGTAATTCCTGGTAGGTACCTGGAGAATGAGTTCTTCAAGCCCTTTCAGGATGGAGATTTTGCCCTTCTGCAGCCTATTTTAGCACTTCACTATTGGAGCAGTTAGAAAGTTTTTCCTAATACCGACCTAAATCTCTCTTCCTGCTCTTTAAGCCTATAACTTACTGTTCCAGGTACAGTAAACACAGAGGACAGGTCATCTTGTTCCTCTCTATAGCTACATTTTCATGCTGTAAGATTTCAGCCTCCCTACTCAGCTTCTCTCCTCTTGACTTCCCAGCCCCAAGTTCTTGAGCTCTGTTGTATAGGCAACATGTACTGATCTCTGGAAATACTTGACACTCTCCAAATGGGCCCTAACTTTCTTGAAGTGCTGTTCCCAACGACAGGCACATTAGTTCACTGAGACATTGTAGCATGCTATCCTTCTGCCATTTAACACTCACTGAACAAATTCCAATGTCAAGATACTGGAATTTCCTGTACGGCAAAAGTTCTGATGCTAACTTGCTGCATTGAGAGATAACTAGCTAGGGGCTGAAAAGGGCCTAAGAAAGTGGCAGAAAGTGACATTTACAGAGGAAGAACAGTTTCCCTTTACCCTGCTTCTTAACTTCGTTGACAATTTGTGAATTCCAGATCAAATTAATCTTTCCCCCCTCCAAACTTCTCTCTGCCTCCTCAGAGATGTTCTCAAGGTGAGGAAGACATCTGCTGTAAGGCACTAGTGATGCAAGGATGGTTTTGCCCAAGGCATGTCAAATCTGTTAAAAAAAACCCAAGGATGCAGGTCTTTGGAGTTGCAAAAATTTCCATCAGAAAGGCTTAGCACTACTACAAAACCCCACAAGCTGTAACTCTGCATATGCAGATGGGGAAAGGCAAGCTGGAGACTTCCTGAAGACACTTCAACAGACACATATCTAAATTGTTGGAAGCAAATTTTGTGTGAAGTTGCTATTCCCAATGGCCTTGACGATGAGTAAGAGTTCCCATTTTCCCCCCTACTCTTACTGTGCCCAACCAAAGATCTTCAGTTAGTTTGGGTAAGGTGGCCAAGCCTCAGTCGCAGATCCACAGAGTCAGATCCTCTGCAAGGCAACAGCTATTGTCCATATAAATACAATTGCCCATGTATTCAAGCACTCCACTGGCATGGCCTGCGTATACTTCAAATAGTTTTTTTCCGTGCAGCAAACTCAAAGGCAAAGTCATTATCGTTCTGAATGAAGGATATAAATGTTTACTCTGTGGTAATACTGCAAGATTCAGGCAAACTTCATGGTCTAATAAGCTTCGGGAAGAGCATCTGCTGGTAGAATTGAACCATGAAGAAACTTCATGCAAAAACATAATTATTTCGAATAATGATATGAGCAGAAAAAAAAAGAAACAAATCAGATGCCGTTTCACACAGTAGAACTGCCCACTGGGAGGATAAGTGAATCCAGTTTCTGACCTCACTTATTCCCACAATAAATTTAAACCAACTGTACTGAAAACAAAAGGTTTACCGTGTGTCTCGGTGACCACATTATCGATATTGGGACTCCAAGTCTCTTTGTTCTGACACAACTACACTGTAAGACTGTAGCCTTACTGGGTGATGTGATTTTCAGTTTCTTTATACCCCTCCACCCAGTGAGACATGTTTAAGGCTTTACATTCTCAAAAATAATTGAGATCATTTTCTTCTGACCGTGTTCTCTCTAGTGCCCTACAACACCTTGCTGTCCTCAGTTGTCCCCTGGCAGCCACGCTCCATCCAGAGAAGAAAAGGATGCAACCTGCATGGTCAGAAGGTGACATGCTAAATACGGTGTCTCCTCCCCAATTCCTTCCACACTTTGAAATTACGAAGTGGCAAATCTTGCAAACGAGCAGAAGTACGTTTACCATGCAGTACATTAGAAAATGGCAGAATTCATTGCCCGAGGATGCTGTGAAAGGCAACAAAGCAGGAGAGGCCCAAAAGGAGATCTTCCAGGGATTGTCTGCCAGCACTATTAAGCATGATAGTCTAAATGCAACTCCAGTTGCTGGAATCCCTGTCTCCAGCAGGCAGCAAGGGTATGCATCGGCAGAAGAACTGATCTTTACCTGCTCCATCTCTTATATGCCTCCCTAAGCATCTCCTACCAATCGCTTTAGAGGTAGGATGCTGGACTAGGTGGCTGTTAGGTTTGTTTCCTAATTTAGGCAGTTTTCTACATAATCGGAGAAAAGAAAGGGACATTTTGGAGGTTGCAGGGAGAGGTGATGGAAGCAAATCCCCACCTTCGTGGTTGCTCAAGCATTCATGCTTTTGCTTCCTTCCTCCATATAGCATTAAAAAGCACAAGCTCCAAAGTAACGAGCTTACTCCTAGAAGATGTTTGCAGTTTGCCTTGCCTTTATCACCTAGTTTCAATCTACATTTTTACTACAGTCCAATAAACTTGTAAGTCTTGCAAATGACACACACTAACAAGCATCTCTTAAAGTTGATAGCTAATTATGTGCCCTTCCAAAAAAAAGCTCAGCAATTTAGTTTGTTCAATTTACTTTCATTAAGAGTAGTGTACTTTTCTGAGATTTGCAATTCTATTTCCAAAGTCAGGCAATCTGCGTAACAGTTGAAAGGAGCACACAATATAGTTGGATAACCTTGGCTGCAAATATGATTTTGTTGGTCATTTAAAGGCAAACTACTTTCATTTACTCTAATGCTTTGTTATTGTTCTATATGTTAATTGGACTATAAAGCACTTAAAGACAGTCTGCCAATTAGGTTGTGGGAATGGCTTTTGGTTATAAACTGAAAAGCAAGTGTTAAGATGGTGTTCTGGCATTCCAAGTGTCTCTCAGTATTTCCAGATTTGAATTGCTCAATAACAACTAAAATGATGTTTTTCTTCTAATGGTCAGCTCTGCACATTCAGCCTGGAGTCGGAAAAATCAAGCTGTGTTTTTCCTGGCTTTCACATCGTTATCATTAATAAAGCTTCAGCAATTGAAATTTAATTAGCAATTCCATAGATGATTAAATGGAAAAATAACCCAGCTCACTCTCACAGCTCTGCTGCCTCTGAAGCAACAACTGAGCAAAAAGTAGTTACTTCTTAATTTTGTTACTAATGCAAGCAAGCAACCTACCCAGACAGTGCATCTGCAGAGGAAGACGTTCCTTTTTTCGTAAGTGGTCTTCTGACCAAAGGCTCAGTTTAATACTGTTAGTTGCATTCTTATGCGCTGGAAAATGTTGTAATGTGTCCTGACAAACTAGCGTGAGCTACTGGAGAAGTACAGAGGGGATCTTTAATATTAATCTTCTAATGAAGTAGCAATATCAGCAGCACCCTTGAACACAGAGTAAAAGATATCCAAACAGAGACACAGCCATAAAAACAA